CTGGGTAGCCTGCTCTGCCCTCAGGAAGTAGATGGGAAATATCTGGCTCTGTCTGCAAGTTTCAGCTGGGAACTGTGGTGGTGTGAGCAAAGAACAGGCTCAAACCATGGGACCGGCAGCTCCTAAAGCACTTGCTCACTCGGTGCAGGGTGCGTGGGGACTGGGAGAGGCTACATGCCCCACCCCCAGCCAGAGAAGTCCCTGGGGCTGTGAGTGCAGGGAGGGGAGAGACTCAGTCTGTAACGGCAGCAGGGTCCTGGGTCGCCTGCTCTGCCCTCAGGAAGTAGATGGGAAATACCTGGCTCTGTCTGCAAGTTTCAGCTGGGAACCGTGGTGGTGGGAGCAAAGCACAGATTCAAACCGTGGGGCCGGCAGCTCCCGGAGCACTCATTCACTCAGCACAGGGTGTGTGGGGACTGGGAGAGGCTACACGCCCGGCCCCCAGACAGAGAAGACCCTGGGGCTTCTGAGTGAGGACCTCCTCTCTGCCCCAGCTGTTCATTCTTGGTAGTATTTCCCATGCAGTTTGGTTTTTGTTCATAAACTTTCTGCCTACCCCTGTTTCTCAGAGTGTTACCTACTTTCTCTTCCAGTACATTTAGTGTTTCTGCTTTGATATTTAGATTTTTTTATCCACTTTGACTTTAGTGCATGGTGATCAACATGGGTCTAGTATTAGTCTTGAGCATGTGGAATGCCAGTTTTTCTAGTACCATTTGTTAAAGAGGCTATCTTTCTTCCTGTGAATATGTTTGGCCCCTCTGTCAAAAATAAGGTGGCTGAGTTGCTCAGTGGCTTTGTCTGCATCTTCTAATCTATTCCATTGATCTTTAGGTCTGGTTTTTTCCCAGTACCATGCTGATTTGGTCACAGTAGCTTTGCAGTATAATTTCAATTCAGGGATTATAAGGCCTCCTGCCTTTCCTTTGTTTCCCGGGACTGCTTTAGCTATTCTAGGCCTCTTCTGTTTACAGATGAATTTTAGAAATGTTTTCTCTAGATCTATGAGGTACACTAATGTAATGTTAATGGGGATTGCATTGAATCTGTACCACAGTTTTGGGAGTATGGCATTGAAATGGCCCTTTTGTGTTCCCATATTCTTGCTAAGTCCCAGGAGTGCTATAGGCAGAGACCAGAGTCTTCAGGTGAAGGTTAAATGGTGGACACTATGACCAAGAGCACACCACTCATGGACTCACTGAGTCATGTGGTTGCAGAGTTGGCCTCATTCAGGAATCTTCCTACGTGAGTTCACACCTGCCATGGCACTGCACACCTCCTGTGGGATTTGTCAGCAGTGTTGTAGCTCAGTATGGACACCCCAAAAGGCCTTTCCAAGAGGAGCTACTGTTGACTGCACATCCAGGTGGGATTTGTGTGGTTGTGCCTGATCAATATGCATCCCAGCCATGGGATTTGGCCTATAGGTACTGTTTTTGTGAACACACCTCTCATAGGGTGTTGCCTAGCAATGCTGTTATGGTTTGTGTCTAGATGTGCCCCCAGAGCCTCAAGCACTTTTAGATGGGGCTTTTGTAGAGGTAGCTGAATCTAGAGCTTGTGATTGATTTGTGCTCCCAAACTGGGATTGATAGAACAAGTTAGTTCATGGAGAAATGCACTCACAAGAAAACAGAGAAGGCCTGAATCAATATAGCTTTATTTGAGCCAGCTGATGCACAGTCTCTAACTAGGAGCCAGAGAAGATGTCCACCCTGATCTGGGTCTCACCTTCAGTTTAAGTACATTTTAGGTTTCCATACTAGCCATTACCTCATTTACAGGAATATTACAAGAATGCCACAATTATCACAAAGTTTACTTCTCTCAGAAGGTCAGACAGCCAAATTCCAGATGACCATGGAAGTTTAACTCTTAGCCCACATCCTAATGTGTCCTGTTTGCTCTGTTCCCATTTCATGACTCTGTTCTTCAAATGGATTGACTCCTAACCAAAGCACAAAGGTGAAAATTGGGGGTCATCTACAGCTTAAGTGAACTTAAGTGACTTCTCTTATTGTGGAGTTAAAAACAGAAAATAGAGCCTCTCTTGCCCTATCAGGATTATGGGGGTGAGTGCTGCATCCACCCTGGCATGGGTAGCCTGCTGACAATATAAGGGAGGGAAAGAGGCTTGCTCTTGCTCCTCCATTTTGCTCTGGTTGTTACTGCTGTTTTCTCTGTTTTCCACCGCCTTGAACTCTTGCCCTCTGGCATGTGCCACTCTGCCCCATGGCAGCTGAGTATGGACTGAAAGCTCCACAAACTGTGAGCTAAATAAATCTTTTCTCCTTAATTCTGGGCATCAGGTATTCTGTCTCAGCCACAAGAGAGAAGTTGCCAAGACAAATGCTACTGGATACACACCTGCTACTTGTGAACCATAGAAACTTGCAATTAACTCTTGTCCTTTCCTTCCAATGTCCTAATAAATATTACCTCTCACAGGCTGTCTCTGGGTGTTTGTCAGTCTCTCAGCAACCAACTCCAATGCACCAGAATGCACTATTGTCTATTGCGTTCTATGCTCATACTTCTCACAAGGGCTTGGTGTAGGACCACAACAGTTGGGTGATGCAGGATTGGGCTTCCAGCACTTGCTCAGTGCTCTAGGACAGCATCTCTCTCATGTCATTCTCCACGGACCCCGTGGACCCATCCCAGCTGCATGTCTGTATGAGACATCCTGCAGCCATTTCATTCCCTCTGTATGTCCTCCTAGAAAATTGTAGAAGCTGGAGGAGAAGATATCTGCATGATTTAGACAATAAAGAATTCTCTCTTTATTGCCTAAATTCCCCTTAAGAGGACATCACTGCTCAAAGTTCAGAAGCAGTGATCCATACCTGTGGTTTCCTATTGTGCTTCTGTCTACTCTGACCTGAACTTCAGGACCTAGATCAAGAGGGTGGACATCTCTAACACTGCTCACAGGTGTGATGGCCTTTCTTGTCTACTCCCATCTGTCTAGACAAATGGCACCAGAATTGGCATCTACTCAATATTAATGGTGGCAGCAGGCAGGCCAGGAAATTCAGGGGTTCATTGCCATAGTATCCCTGATCCAATTCATGTAGGGTTTCAGTTCAGTAAAGATTTCAGATGCATTGCAGAGGCCAGAGGAGGGGTGCTCCTATGTCACTAGTCCTTGGAGGACATCACTGTAGACAAGTGCACCCCAGAGTTACCCTGGAAAGAGACAATGTGGGAAAGTCCAGTGGGCATGGGTTCTGTCTACAATACCAGCTCTCCCAATTAGGGACTCCAGCACACATGGATCCTTAAAGAGGAGAGTGGCTGGCGTTTTTGCTGGAGGAAGGCAGGGCAGAGCTCAGTTCCTGCACAGAGGGTAGGGCCAAGATCACAGGGCCTCACACAGGTCAGTGGGAGGAGGAGCTACAGGACCCTCACCCAGCAGGGCAGCCCATCACAGGCCCTCATGGCCCCAGGACCCCACAGTCTGATCCCCAGACAGGCATTAGAGGGCAACCATGAACTCTGAGTCAAGCCCTGCACCAGCCGCAGCTTCAGCTCGGCAGAGGAAAAGTATACTCTGGTCACCCTGCTGAGGCCTTGCGGGGCAGGACCCTAGGCCCAGGCCTGTCCCTTGACCCCTCCTCCAGCCACACAACCCTCTCTGCTATCACAGCCTCCAGGCCCTCTCCACCAGGGGTCTCAGCACCTGCCCTGCCCTCTGCTCTCCCCAGGTGCCACAGGGTCACCTTCCTGCTTCCAGTGTTGGATCATCTCACAAGGTCCCCAAACACCATCTCTCCTCGCTACTCCATGCAGAGCAGAGCCACCTCCTAATCTCCCCAACACTTCTATGGTAATTTCATGTTTCTACCCCACTTTGTGGAAGAAACCACACACAACCTACTACCCACTGTACAATTGCATTTGTATGAAATCTAGAACAGGTAAAACAAACTAGTGTTGCCTAGTTGCTGGGATGGGTGAGGGTGGAATGAGTAGGTATAGAAACAGCTGGGAAGGGGTATGAGGGAGATTTCTGGGTTGATTGGAATTTTCTAGAACTTCACAGGAACGCTGGTGCCGGTATTTGTCAAAATGTGTTGAACTGTATGCTTGAAATCCATACTGTTTACTCTTCAACACAAATTATACCTTAGTTTAGCAGCCACACATGGCATTTATAAAAATGAAATTCTACTCGGGCGATGCAAGGAAAACTTGTAATCTCACCACTCTGGAGGCTGAGGCAGGACAACCATTGCAAGTTAAAAGCCAGCCTGGGATGCAAAGTGAGTGCAAGACCAGCCTCATCTGCATAGCGACACCCTGTCTCAAATGGAGAAATGAAAGAACCTCTACTGAGACTTGCTATGAAACAAGTTGCAGCTAAATTCAAAGTTATGGTAGAGAGAGTAGGTTGTCTGACCACAGTGTCACTGAGCTAGAAAATATGACAAAATAAAAGCCAGAATATCATAAATATGTGCCTTAATTTTAAAGGAACACTTCTGGAGAACCCACATTTCAAATGAAAAATACAGTGGAAATGAGAAAATACTTTGAACCAAAGGTTAAAGCTAACACAGATGAGTTGCTGGACTGAGTCCCTCTTCCACATGGTGTGGGCTCTGCGGTCCGTGAGGAGGACCCAGACTCCTAGGATCTGGGAATGGCTAACCTCAGACTCAGAATACTGCCACAGTCCTAGGGTGCCTGGAACGAAGACCCCATCACCCCAGCCTCTCCTGAGATTCTGAGTACAGGATGCAGAGTCTCAGCTCCTTCTGGGTCTGAGTCTGTATCCCACCTGGTTGGAAGGGTAGGGCCCTTTCACTGTCAGTTCTTGAGGTGGCCAGAGACAGAGAGTGTGGGAAAGAGCTGGACAGAATGCCTCCTATAGCAGGAGTCAGTGACCTTTGAGGATGTGGCTGTGTCCTGCTTGAGCTCTAGAGGCGGAGCCTTAGACATTGCCCCTGCTTGGCCCTCCTCATATAACCTGTGCCTTCCTAACCGTGACCCGCATGACCCCTACCAATTCCGTTACTGGATCCCGTCCACCCACCCACTGGATCCCCTGTGCGCTCCTCCTGCCCGCAGAAGCTGAAATTCCTCCTAAAGAAACCGGCACTCTCTTCCCAGATGGGCTGCCCCTGGTCAGCAAACGCATCTCTGGTGGCTTACCTTGCATTCCACACTCCCAGCCCTGGATAGCCGCACTGTTTTACAATGACTATACATACTGCTCTGGAGTTCTGGTGCACCTGCACTGGGTGTTGTCAGCTTCACACTGCTGGAAACCGTGAGCAAGTGCAATAGAGGTTACTGCAGGGGGGTAGGCAGTGGGCTGAACTTAGAGGGGTGGAGCATGGTGGCTGTTGGGCGGTCACTGTAGGCAGGGCGTAGGGTCTGACATTGCACTACAGTGAGGAGCAGGGCCCAGGCTGTGTTTGAGCAGAAAAGTCTGAGTCTTGCCCAGGTTGCAGTTCCAACAGTGCAAAGGGGCTGGACAGGGAGTGAGCCCCGGCCCCACAGGCTGGACTTGGCCAGGAGATGAGACTTGAAACACTAGCCCTGGAGCAAGGCTGGAGCCACAGTCAAAGGGGAGGCCTCCCTGGGTGATCCACTTCCCCGGGCTGGAGGAACATTCACGTCTCTTTGCTGGGTCTAAAGGATCCCCCATGTGGGAAGAGAAGCCATGCGGCAACCTGGGGTTGACCCGAATATGAAAGTGGAGAGGAGGAGATGGCTTGAGAGAGGCAGGCTTGGATCTCAGTTCAGCCTCTAGGAGCCAGGTGGTGTGGACAAGGGACCTCTTGTCACGGGATGTAAGGGGCCTGGGGCAAGGGGAAGGAGACAGGTGAAGACAGAGCCAAGTAAATGGGGGCCACGCTATGCACGTTGCTGCAAGGCAGGGTATAGACAGAGACGAGCCAAAAGCTCCTCCAGTGGGAGAAATATGTTGATGTGTTATTTCAAACAAATTAATAGTTCTACAAACATCCATGATGATCAAAATATCCACATTTGAAATAAACGGGATCCTGAGGGCGTGGGTCAAGGGCGAGGTGCACTTCAAATGCTGTCTTCCCCTTAATTTCTAATATTTCATGTATTGTGCAATTGTGCATTTATTTTGAGTTTAAAAATATTATATGAGCCACTATTCATCTTGCTTTTCCTACATTAGTGGTTCACTCAGTTACCACCTTAGACAACATTGCCCTAATAGGATCTGGGGCTACTTGGCGGTGGGCATTGGCATGGGATTTGGACGCTGTCCTGTAAGGATGAGGCTGGCACCAGGGATGGGTCTGGGCGGGGTGGAGGGGGGGATGTCAGTGGGGATGGGACTGAGGTTGAGGATGAGTGGGGCTGAGGATAGGACTGGATTTGGGCCTGCACTGGAGTTTGGGCTTCTAGACAGGATGGACTTACTATGGTACTGACTGTCCCATCGCCCTCAGATCCTACACCATAGGGCTGGGTCTGCACACACTTTTTGAATGGGATGAACCAGGCAGCCAGATGGTTGAGGCCAGTGTCTCCGTGCAGCACCCAGACTACGTCACAGCTTGGAAAGGCTGTGACCTCATGCTCATCAAGTTGAACAGACCGGTTGTGGAATCAGACACCATCCGGATCATCCCCGTCACATCCCAATGTCCGACACCTGGAACCAGGTGCTGCATCTCTGGCTGGGGTCGACAATTGGATGGTGGGCACTGGTGTTCCTGTCTCTGGACTCACTGATAGCTGTGGCTGTCTCTGCCCAGGAGTGTTTCTGACCCTGTGTCCTTTCTTTCAGGTGTGTACCCTGAGAGTCTGCAGTGTGCAGTTATTCCAGTGCTATCAGAGCAGTACTGCAGAGCACTGTATGACAAATACTACCACTGGAGTATGTTCTGCGCTGGTGCTCAGGGCTATAAGGACACTTGTCCGGTAGGAGACTGGAACAGGGAGGCAGGGGTTGAGGATGGAGGTGGGGTGTAAAACCCACAGAGGGTCATGCAGGAATGAGGGAGAGCAGAGAGCCATGGGGAGACGCAGGTGCAAAGAGAAACAGAGAGAAGAAATTGGAAGGGTGTTATGGTTTGTGTCTGGGTGTTCCCCCAAAACCTCATGTGGTCATGGGGCAGGCTTTTAGAGTTTGACTGATTATGGGTGTGACAGCTACACCCACCTTGGGGTGGGTAGTTTGCATATGGAAGGGAGAGGAAGAGGCTGCTTGCCACCATTCCTGCCTTGAGTGTTTGTTGCTTTTTTGCTGTGTTCTGCTGCCATGAGCTGTAGGCCTCTTCCATGTGCCACTCTGCCTTGTAACCTGCCAAGTATGGACTGAAAACTCCACAAACTGTAAGCAAAATAAACCTTTCCTTCCTCAATTTTGGGCATCAGGTATTTTGCCCCAGCAACGAGAGAAAAGTAACCAAGACATAGGGTGAGAAGGAAACAAGGAGACACACTGTAAAGCAGCCACAGAGGCAGGCAAGGAGAGCCAGTAAGCAAGTGACAGAGAGACCCAGAGACATGGTGTTGAGAGGAGGTATGCAGAGACGCCCAGGAGGGACACCAGGAGGGTTTGTGGAGAAGGAACACGGCTGTAAGAACAGACTAGTTGACTACATTCAGGATCCCCAGCCCCACTGCCTACCACAACTCCATCCTCAACTCCAAGGGCTCCCAAGACCCCAAATCCAAGCCCAGTCTCACCCAACAATTGAAACTCAACCAAGGCTGGAAAAGGAGATGCAGGCGGGGGTGGAGCTCTTCAGGGAAACTCCAAGGCCTGGGAGGGAGAGCTGCTGTTTGAGAGGCAGGACTGTCCCTGCCAGCCTACAAGCTATGGTTTCATTGCTTAGTTTTGTAGTGGCGGATCCCTCCATTTTGGTGTTGGGTCTCTGTGTTTTAAGTCCAGGAACGGTATCATGGTCTGCTTGTCTCCCCATCACCTCTGCCTACTGTACCACATTTCTCTCTGGGACCTGCTGGCTCTGTCTCCCCTGCTTCAGTCTCCAGCTCTCACTGCTGCCCTCTAGCTCTTGCACTATGTGTATCTGCCCTGTTGTCTCACTCTATCTTTGCCTCTTTGTGCATGTGGCTTCCTGTGTGTGTCTCCTTCCATCCTCCTCTCCAACCGCCCTAACTTCCTCTTCTCCTCCCTCAATAGGCAGATTCTGGAGACCCTGTGGTCTGCAATGGCCTCCTGCAGGGCCTGGGGATACTGCCCCTGTGGCCAACCTGGAATTCCAGGCATCTACACCAATCTCTGCAAATTCAAACACTGGATAAGGACAATTATCCAGACCAGATAACCACAGATGATGTTGGGACAGAGAAACCAACACCACCTTCCAAACCTATCCTCAGGCTCCATCTATCATAAACAGCTATTGGACTTCACTGAATCTTCTCTACCAGTATATTGAGATGAAATGGGCCTCCTTTCTTGTTTAATTTTATTCAGACTGAAAGTTGAGTTTGCAAGTGTCACAGGTATTACTGATTTTAAGATGCTGTGACATCCTTGTGTTCCCAGGACATCTACTACATGGTAGGGATACCAGTATACTTGTCCCTAATTACCATGGTGAACAGCTGTCCAGGGACAAGTTTGTTGGCTGAAGTTGTGGAGTTCAGAATGGCTTCAGTGATGCTTCAGGGACAGGGAAGATGGATCATACACTTCTCACTCCAAACTCACCTGAATAACTGAAAATCTAGGGTTGAACTCTAGTTACAGGTAGTTACAGTGGTTGAGGAAGCTGAAGGTAAAACAGAGGTAGGCATGACCATCAGGCATAAGCTGTGTCAAATCAGAGGAATGGAGGCGTGAGGAAAAGGAAGAGAGACGGGAAAAGTTGTGCTACAGGGAGCAGAACTGAAGAAAAAGGAGAGCAAAAAATTCAAAGAATAAAAACTGACTTCACAAAGATGTACTGGGTGAGTACAAACAGAGCAGGGACAGGCAGTATGCAAAAGGACCCGTTTGGGATTAGTGAATATAAAAATAGTTCCCAAAATATTATTTTTTTAAAAGAATACCTTGAGTTAAAAATGGAAGATACAGCTAAAACACTAACTACTGGGGTGATGATAAATGAGACATGGTACAGAATAGAGAGGACATGGGGAAGCAAATGAAGGGAAAGAAGGTGAAATATTACACACACACACACACACACACACACACACACACACACACGCAGGTGCCAACTCCACAAAACAAGTGCAATTATTTCTTTGGCAAACACATATCAATAAAAATAAGGGAGCCGGAAATATTGTAGAGAAAGAGACAGATGTCAAAGCCTTAAAACTGTAAAATAAAAAAGGGTAAGGTCTCCTGACACAAATGAGTACAAGTTAGAGTGACACACACTCACAGTTGCCCAGTCATCCATGCACACGCATGTGCACACTCACACCTCAACTTCTGCAATGCCAAACAGCAGAATCCACATGCTTGGCTGT